TCATTACAAACAAGAGACCCCCACGTTCTCCCCTTTCCTTTTCTTTTTTTTCACACTCCCCCAGGCCTACCACAGTCTTTTTGCCCAACTGGATGCTATGTTTCATTTTTGTCTTATCACCACCTAATGTCCAAATTTATTTAAATCATCCTCAGACAGAATCCTACAAGATATGAATCACATTTGGGTTTTTTTTTTTTTTTGCTCTGACTTGTCAGCTGTCTCATTTGTGATTGACAAGATTTCCATTTCAGTAATTTCTACTAATTCTGCTTCAAATCTGTATATGTAATGAACACACCAATTGGTATCTCATTATTTATTAGTCAGGACCATTTTTCCAAGGGTAACACACGGGTTTCATAACTTATAGTACAGGGTAGCTGCCTCTAAATGAAACTCAAAGAAAGCCTTGTCCAGTTTGCATTAAAACAGTATCCAACCTATGAGTACCAACATTTTTTCCTCTCCATGATCTGATCCTTTACGTGTAAGAACGCTGTTTGCGTGCTCCCGTCAGACTCTTAAACACAAACAAAGCTTTTCTCTTTGTAAAGGTATGTTGAATTGTATATCTCTGCATAAAGACGGAAAGAAACACCAGATAGTTTGCCCGCACCAAATAAAAAAACAAAAAAACAGTCCAAATTCTCCAATGCAAACACAATCTGACACATGTTAAAAATTGCCTGAAGCACTGGGAAGTTATAGATCTCCCTGGGGCAGGTAATTCATTAGGAAATAGCCTCATGCCCCATGTAGCAATTTAAACAAAAATATTTACTTGTGGTAATATCAGACGATAAGGGTAACAGGGGTTTCTTTCTGAACAAGGGGGAGGGAGGACCCTGCCGTAGATGCCCATCATAAGCATTGCAAATGAATCATTAGTCTTCTTCCTACAATCTAGGTCAGGATGGAGCTAAAGGGGAGGGCTTTTAAATCTGCTACAGGGCTCAGCGTGGATCTGCTTCTGTGAAGGCACAAGGGGCAGACAGTTCCACTGTGCTGAGGGATTCTAAGTGCGATAGAAAAATGCTTTCACCTGATACAGGGACCTCCTGACCCAGGGAGTCATCAAGAATAAAGAGGGTTGTACTTTCAGGTGAATGTCATTGAAACACACACACAACACTTCTTGAAGCTTTCTGTGTTCAACTTTTCAGGCCCTGAACAGTATTTGCCAGGTAGATCTTAGAAGGAAAACAGTATCTTCCAGACTCAGGAACATGTGGATTTTCTTTTTTTTAAACAACAGAATCATACACTCTTTGTGTTGAAAGGGACTTTAGAAATCAACTACTCCAAGCGTCTCCTGTTGAAGAAGAGGTTTCATGTCCTGTACGATAGAGTGACTAACTTGCCCAAGGTCATAAGAGTCATCTTCATCATGCCACAGTTTATTTTACTTTTGGGGTTTCTTTTTTCCCCAAGATTCCTTTTTTGGACAATATGAATAATTTATTAACTAATGCAGAAACAAAACAAATTGACTTTGTAACTGCCACCTGATAAACTGGATCTGTGTCAGAGACTCCTGCCACGTGCCTCATCCCCAAAATGATTATGTAAGGATGCTGTTTACCAGACCTCTGTCCTGGGGGTCCTTCCTCAAAACCTCCAGCTCCGCCTTTCATGTGATTATCTTCTAGGCATGTTGTAGCACTTAATTCACTCTACCAAAGGCGCAGAAACTTTTGTGTAGCTTTTGTTCTATCCTTCCGGAGCCACCACAAGAGGTTGGCAGTGTGTATTTTCCTAAATTTGTTCTGAAATATCCCTAAAGCTAGAGAAATCTAAATAGAAAAACTTGCATTTCAAAATTAAATCCAAGCTACACACTAAATGGACTTGCTAGGGTAGATGGGCTTTTACTTTCAAAATCATAAGAAAACCTAAAGTTCAAATATGATACGAGAAAAACATACAGGCAAAAAAATGAATGGGTTTTGTTCTTAACTTTACCACTGAATTTGCTACAAACCATCCACATGATATGTAGAAGCAATTTTTCCTTCTCTCTAGGCCTTGTTTTCCTCTTCTATTCGAGTAAGAAGGAAACCAAATGATCTCCAGGGTTCCCTCATTGGTTATGCCATTCAAATAATGTCTCCAAAATTGCTTTATTTTTTTAAAGCCACAGTCACTGCAGAACTCTCTGTCGCTATTGCCAAAGATGTGAAGTGACAGTAAAGGAACACTTCAGTATCTGCTAAATCTATGTAAAGCTTTCAAAGGATGTAGTTTCACTATTGAAATAATTTCTCCAAAACAATGTTAACTGACTTTGGACTCAGAGCTTATGAATCTAATCCTCTAACCAGTATGTTTTTTCCCCCCATTTCACTCTCCAGGTTGATTTGTGAGGGGTTTTTTGTTTTTTGTTTTTTTTTCCCTCTTCCTTATTTTAAAATATTTAAGGCCTGAAGAGAAGTAGGAGTCTGGAGGACGCAGCATGTGAATGCACACACAGAGAAGTAAGAACAGGCCTGTTTCTTATCTAGCCTGAACACTTCAGTAGGGACCGAATTTTGTATTCAGTTTCTCCAGCCACAACTTGAAGGTTATAGAATATTCTATTTCAGGACACCTTTAAAAGCGAGGAGCCCATTTCAAAGTACTGCAGAGTGTTATTTTGACTTCTGCCACAGGATGAATCATTCCTCCTGAATGCAAACACCAGCAAAGAACGCGTTAGAGGATCCGCCATCATATTAAAAATTAAATCCGGCTGCATTTCATAATGGGCTTTCCTTTTTAAAGCACGGTTTCATCTTCTCACCATGGAAATTGCGCTCTGATGACTGTTCTTTATGGCTAACACTGAGGTATCGGCTGAGGTCAGAACCCTGCTTCTCTGAACAGGGAACCACAAATGTCACCAACACATGGTACGCTTGGCAAATAATATATTTCTTTCCAGTCTCCCGTGTCTTCAGTTTGCCTAACGTCATGCTTGTGGTAAGCTGGAGAGGGTTTGTTTCTCTGGTCTTCTTCCCTTCCTTTGGTGGGACCAGCGGGAGGCATGCAATTTACAGTGAATTCAAAAGAGCACCTCTTGTGATTTTTGTTGTTGTCTTTATTTTAACCTCCAAGAAGAGAGAGATTTAACTCAGTCTTCACCCCAGGCTAAGCTAATACTTAGGTCATGTCTGAGCTCTCTGGGGAACCCCTGCTTTATACCATCCGAGGGGCAGTGGTGTCTTTTCACGTGGAGCAGCACAGCTGTCCAGCCATATGGGCCCCAAGCAGCCCAGTCAATCGGATTTGGGGAGGTTTTACAATGTAATTTCTTAACGTGTTAGTATTTGGGGTGAGTTTGTTCAGGAGTATAGACAGCTCTTAAGCCCAAGGGTTTAGGTTTTAAGAAGCCATCACAAATGTCCCAGCATCTGATCAGACTGTTTAAAAACAGATATGAAATCTGTGACTGGGGGAGGGGAAAGGACTCGTGACCCCCTCGTTGGAGAAAACCCCAGGGGTATGCTCTAACGATTAATTCAACATCAGCTGGTTTTTTTTCTTTTCTCTCCTTTTCTTTTCTTTTCTGTTTAAACCCGGGGCTCATCATTTAAGGCGTTCCTACTCAGGCCTGCAGAGCCTGTTACAAAACCTTCTCTCTGCTCCCCTCCCCCCATGCCGCAAGATGAGAGAGCAGATATCCTGCATTGCAGCGGTGGCGCAGGAGGACCGCACTGAAACCGTCCTCAAGTAAAACAAAACCAGGCCTTTAAGAAAAACCAAGGAAAAACCAGTGTCCTGCTGCCCTTCAGTCAAGCAACCTAGAGCTCCAGTCGCAGCCCCATGCCTCCACGTAGAAGGTGTTCAGGGACTGCTTGCTTAAGGAGTCCTTAGCGAATAGGAAACACATAGTCCTGAATCTAAAACCCTTATCAAAATGGTGGCAGTCTTGAGCCAAGCGACCGCCAATATAGTTTTTCCACCAGAAAAGTATTGTAGTTTGCGAGCAACCTTATCAGAATGGTAAGTTTCCCCCGGAAAGAGATCCCTTTCCGGGGATCTTGGAAAGACAAACTACAGTCGTCAGAAATTAAAAATCTACTGCAGGGATGTTTTATATTCTTTTCCTCTCCTCTATCTCTCCCTGTCTGTCTCTCTCTCAATCTAAAGCGAAGCTTTCCGCTTCTCGGAATTTACAAAAACTGCTTATTTTTAAGCTTCTCGTGGTACATTGTTGGAAGCAAAAACCCAGTGCTAAGAGGTTGTGTGATTGCTATTCTTCTTTTAATGAGGCAAACACCCAATAATTAACAAGAACCGAAATGGCCTGGGAGCGAGCAGGGCCGAGCCCAGGGTCACCGTTCCTTGGGCCGGTTCCCGCACGGTGGGCGCGCATCTGCGATGACCCCGCAGGACGGCTCCCGGCCGCCGCGCGCGGGCCATCTGATTTGCGGAGCTGCTTGTAGCTGTCAGGGGCTTGTTCTTTCTACCCATCGCTCGTTGCTCTGAATCCAGCGCTGCCTAAGGAACGCTTAGATTTTTCTTTCTCTTTTCTTTCTCTATTTCTTTCTTTCTTTTTTCTTTAAGTCATCAAAGAAGAAAAGCCTGAGTAGGGGAAGCAGATGGGCCCTGCGTGTGCGGACATCGCCGGGGTGAGGGTTGACTCCCGCGGCTGCTGAACCGGCTCCCGGGAAAGACCGAAGATTTCTCCTTGCTGGCGCTGGGTTTGTGTTGGGGGGTCGGGTCGGGGAGTGTCTGGGGGTTTTGATCTAATGGGCAGATTATTCATTCTGAGTCCTTCCTTAAGGCCAAGCTAACCCCGCGCTCCCGGAAAAACACTCCACACGGGGCACACACCAGCACAACAAAAGGCGCCTCCCGAAGTGAGTCTAAACGTTCGCGGGACGGGTGGCGGCCGGACGTGGAGACGCACTTGTGTGCGCTCTAATCTCGGGCGTCCATCTGGCCCCGGCGGCGCGGCGCGGCGCGGCGCGGCGCGGCGCGGGCGGGCGGGAGGGCGCCGCGGGCAGCGAGGCCGGGAGCCAGGAGGGGCGCGCGCACGTACCCAGAGGCGCGGGCACGCGCGCCCGCTCTCCTTCACGTTCACCTTGACTGCAGGGGGGCGGGGGATGGGACTACCTCCCCGCACCCCCTGGCTCACGACAACCCCTCTCCCCCCGCGCCCCGCCGCCGTCCTGCCCTGACGCAGAGGCTCCGGCTCGGGGAAAGAGGAGGGGGGGCGAGGCGCAAAGGCCCTCCGGTCGCCGCAGCGGCGGGAGAGCCGCGCGCTCTCCGCAGTGATGTCAACCGCCTCCGCCGCAGCCCCCCAGCCACCCCGCCCCGGGCCTCGCCCGAGCCGCGTCCCGCGGAAACACTCGTCCCGCGCCTCCGGCCTGGGGTTAGAAGCAGAAGGCGTGCGGTGCCCTAAGCACCCCCCCACTCCATTTGCCAAAGCAGGAGAGACAGGGGGTGCACCACCCTCTGGGTAGGAAGCGGAGGAAGGGTAGCGGGGCGGAGGACCAGGTGTGGGTTTGCTGGCCCAGGCCGCTGATCGGAGTCGTCCCGGGACCGGTGCGGGTTACGTCAAGGAGGGAGGGCACTGACCACTGCAGGTGCCGCGCGTGTGGGCACGGTGAAAGCGCCCCCTTCTCCCAGGATAGAAACGGATAAACGGAAGCGCGTGTGAATGTGCGGGTGCGAATCGCCACCTCCCGCCTTGGTTTTCCCGCCCTTCCGAGCGCTCCCACTTGTCACTTTCCCCAAATCCGCATTTTCCTTGGCGCAGCTCTCCCCAAGCAAGCAGGAGAGGGAGGTACCCGGGGGCAGTGAGAATGACGTGTGCTGGTGCAGAGAGGGGGCGGGGGGCTGCGGGCCCGGCTCTGTGGACCGGTTTCTAATCCTCTTGTTTTCGGTACAGTCAGCAGATGTGGCTTCTTTTAGCTGAATAATCCGTTAAAGGAAAAATAATTTTTCAAAAGGACCTCACCCGAAGAGGATGGCGAGCGAGATTGGGGCTTGGTAAGATAAATTAAAAGGCTCCAAATTCTCTCTGTCCCTCTCTGCCTTCCTCTCTCCCCTGCTGCCCCTCCCTCCTCCTCCGTCCCCCCGCCCCTTCTTCCCCATCCCCTGCAATCCGCCCTCGACGTGAGTTCACGCGGAGGGCTGGATTTCCAGGCTAAACCGCAACTTGCGCTGCGCGTTATTATTATTCATCTGAGGGTGCTGCCGCTGCAACCTTTGCCTCCTGCTCTGCTCTCCGCTCCTTCCCCCCGGCCGCCGCCGCCGCCAGCAGTGCAGTCCCTCCTGCACGCATGCTCTGGCTCACCGAAGGGAGATTCTGAATTTTTTTTATCATGCTCATGATCATCACCATGACGCTTCTTATCATGGTTATCATTTCCTCCTGCCAAGGGGAGCGACCACCAGCGCCTTCTCTCCGCCCGCCCCTTCCCCAGCGAAGGCAGCCACTCGGGCTGGGCCCCGGCGGCCGCTCCCTAGATGCGGACTTCCTTTGCCTCTCCGTATCCCTCCCTCATTCTTCTGCCTGTACATTATCTTGATCCCTTTTATTCCAGTAGATCTACTGCCTTTCTTTGGAACGCTGCGGACTGCGACCAGTCTCTTAAAAAGAAGAACAGAGAGAAGAAGACCCTGAATAGACCACCCCCCGGACAAAGCACTTTGGGTTTCGCCAGAAGGGATGCGCGGGAGCGTTGGCTCGGGAATACGAGTGATCTCCCGTGCGGTAGGGGGCCCGCCCGGCGTGCGGACCTCTGAGGGTATTCGAATTGAATTTTATTTATCCTTTTGGTGTGCTTGGACTGTGTCATTGTTGGGGAGGAGTTGCGCTTGCTTGTTTGTCTGTTTTCTGGGAATGGGAGCAGAATTGTGGGAGATCAGGTAGACTCAACTTGGCTTTCCTGCTACCTGCCTCACCCTCTGGAGATCCGGGTGTTGGAGAGGAGACTGGGGAGCAGAAGGCTTAGAAAAGAGTAGAAGCTGGAGATGATGCCTGGAGGGCTAAGGGAATAGTGGCGGGAGGGGGACGTGAGTGGTGATGGGCCAGCTGGAGGAGGGTGAAAAGCAAGGGTCTGTTTTAACACCCCTTTGGGTTCACAGGATGGGTTTTGCTGGGGCTGAGCATACTGATGTCTGTTGATGGGAGCTCTGAGAAATTGATGAAAAATTGATATGTCCATGTACACACTTAAGGAGGCGTCTGGATTTGTGTGTAAACAGAGTGGAGAGGTAGAGGAGGGCATGGAGGGAAGGGGCTGAAAATAATGTCTTATTATCCCTTTGGTTTTGGGGACTCTCATTCTCTGGCCCTCTCCCCCTATTTTTCCGGGGGTGGGGGAGAAACCCAGGGATCCAGCACATTAGGCAAGAGTGACTTTTAAATCTGTGCCCACCCTTCACCTGGTAAATCCCGCTGACAGTTTGGGGTGGGGTGGGGAGAGTGGTAGGGGTGTTTCGAAGACATAGATATTCTCTCTCTCTCTCTCCCCCCCTTCCCTCCGTCTCTCCCCCTCCCTCCCTCCCTCCCCCTCCCCTCCGTCTCCTCCTCCCTCTCTATGCCCCCCCTTCACTCTCTTCCTCCCTCCTACCTCCCTCGCTCCCTCCCTCCCTGCTGCATTTTGCATGAGCTATCTAGGTCATTAGCATTTTAGCGTATGCAAGACTTGACAAAGCTGATGAGGGGCCAGATGGGCCTCGGTCTTATGGGTGTTTTTATCCTCCCCCCCCTTTTTCTTTTTCCCCTCCACCACTTGGGACCTGAGCGAGAGGACTGCAGCAGCCGAGTTCCGGAAGGCTGATTCCCCAGATCCTGGCCCCGGACCCCGGCAGCTAGCCCCTGCGGCACGCCCGGCCCGGCTGCTCCTGGACTCGGCGAGCGAGGTAAAGGCTGCGGCCGCGCGCCCTGCCCTGCCCTGGCAGCCGCTGCAGAGCTCCTGCTGCCCTGCTCGTTCCTTGCCCTCGTCTTCCCCCTCCTGGCCCCCCTCAGTTTCCTGGGCAAAGCTGAGGGTGAGGTCGGTGGGTAGGATCTGCTGCGCTGGGGCGAGGTGGGGTTGGTGGTGTTTTTTGTTTTGTTTTGTTTTGTTTTTTTCATTGTCTGGGCTTGCAGGGGAGGCAAGGCTGGCGGAAGGGGCCAGGGGAGTCGGGGTAATTAACACGGGGGAGGCACCCCTCCGTTTCCCACTTCCACCCACATCCCGCAACCCACCACCCCCTCCGCTTTGCAGGAAAAAGCCTGGATCCGAAAGGATGGGGGAGAACAAAGAGCCTTTGGAAGACGTCGCTGTTATCTCATTGTCTGTGTGATCGGGAGAGCTGCGGTAGGGAGGATGCTGTGGTCCTTTTCTCCCTGCGCTCCCCCACCCCCAAGCCTGTCCCCGCTGTCAGTGCGCACGCACACGCGCCGCTTTTTACTTGTTTTTCCTTGTTTTCTCATTCCATCTTCTCCCCATCCCCCTTCCTTTCTTCCACCTTTCCTTCCTCCTTTCCTTCCTCAGGAGAAAGGCCTCTCTCTCCGTGTTCACAGCGGACCTTGATTTAAATGTCCATACAATTAAGGCACGCGGTGAATGCCAAGAATGGGGCTGGCTGTGCACCGTCGGTCCGGGAGGGCCCTCCGAGGAAGGAGCCACAGAGCCGAGTTGCCCTCCGCAGAGCTCAGCGCTGCGGCTTCAGGCGGGAGGGGTCGCGGGCTCTCGCTGGCTGGGCTGCCCCAACCGGAGCCTTTGGGCTGGGGAGGCGTGTGGCTTGTGACAGACAGGGGCTTAGAGATGCAAACAGACTCAGAGAGAAACAGAAGCTGATTCTGTAACAGAAACACAGATCTGTGCAAGCCCAGATTGGGGGTGGGGGGAGTGTGGAGCGGGGAGGCAGTTGCTGTGAGCGCATTGCGGAGTGCTTCCGTGTGCAGATTTTTCTCTGGGCTCGGGGTGCATTGTATGCGGGGCGACACCTTTCTTCGTGGCTGTGTTTTTGCTCTGGTCTTAGCTTTTGGTTTACCCTTTAAACAAATAATCTGGCATCCAGAAGACCGGCAGACTGTGTCAGGGCTGGGACTGCAGATATATTGGGTTCTGCTGTCGGTTGGGGGGTGGGGGGAGGGCAGCCAGTAGGAAGGGAGGAGGGAGGTGTTTGTCCCTCTTTGCTGTAGCGCTGTGGGCACCTGACAAGCCGAAGGAAGTCATTGAGATACAGGGGGAAGAAGCACCAAACTCCTGGACCATTCACCACAAGCTCCATCAGAGCTGAAAGTATGGCCAGGGCTCTCCGGAGAAACTCACTTCCTCCTGGCGGCTGTAATCGCAGTTTCAGGCAGAGATCCAGGAGATGCCGAGGAGGGGAGAGGTGCAGTAACCTACATGCACCCGAGGGGGTGGAGGCGGTGCGTTCCTTTTTAAAATCTGAACAGAAGGAAAAACAGAATGTGCACAGGTGGGGGTCTGAGGAAAGACTGTTTTTGAAAGAGGCCGTTCAGGGAATGGTAAGGGTTAACCCTCCCTCATCCTGAAGAACCTGCTACCCAAATCACCTTTCCTCCCCATCGGCAGACCTAGTGCAGCAGCTGGTCCTAGAGATCCCCCTGCGCTCCACAGTCACAGCCCAACCCCCGACCCTGAGCTGCAGTGGAGAGACCTAAACTCATTAATTTCCAGGTGGAGAAAATGGAGGAGGGGCAGGTCCCTGCAGAGAAAGGAGGCCAAGAACTGGAACTTCCCACCCAGGAAGGCTGCTGCATCCCTTTCCTTGACCCTGGCAGAGGCCCGTCTTTGCAAGACCAAGGCCATAAGGGATGCTTACAATTTTAGTTTGGTTCCTGACAAGAGTAATCAAGGCCTAAAAGAGTCTCAGCTGAAGCTTACTGAGGTGCTCTTTCTTCTCCAAAGCCTCAGTATAGCCCACTAAATAAATTAGTATTCATGGATACCTAGCCTCATCTCCTCCCATATATTTACTGAGTACCTACTATGTGCCGATCATTGTGTAATTATTATATCTTGAGTTCTTCCTTTGCCTTCCTAAGGGAGTGTCTGGAGTCAGGTGAGGTTAAGTGTGCTGTGCCCCATTCCAGACACTCCCAGAACCTTCTCTGAGTCTGGCAGAAATGTGCCAGAACCTACTCACCCCTGCAGAGAGAAGGATGCAGTTCACATCGTGCAAACTGCAGGCGCAGGGCTCTTCTTCACATCCCAGAAGGCAAGCCTGGCTGGACGACAGAAGAGAAAGCAGCTTCTCTCATCCCTTAGCCTTAGCCAGGGTTGTCCTAAGAGGGACCGGCAGCCACTGCCTTCAAAACAGTCCTCCCTCTAAATGGTCCCTCCTTGGCCCTCCCCCGCCCCTCCTCTGAGCGCTGCTCTTACAGTGCTTTGGGGCCTGACTTAAGCCTCCGATGACCAACCCTCGACCCCACAGTTGTCCACATTAATAAGCCTCATCTCCGTAATTGCTTCCCCGTAATTCCATCAGACATGACTGTGCCCTTCGCTGATGTGCCTGCCGCCAGTACAATCTCCAGATGCCTCCCCAAGTAACGCCCCTTTGAGGTGGAAACCTAACACGCTTCTCCCTGAGAGTTTAAACCGCAGGCACCATGGACGAGGCCTGCCAGGTTCCTGCTGCCAACGATTAGGATGGGAAGGGCGTGTTTTCTTATTTTATTACTTATTTAAACTCTTGTTCCAGAAAGCTCTAATGTGTGTGGGAGTGTTCTGGGTTTGCCGGGGCTTTTCCAGTGTTCGCCAGGTCTCATTATGAAATGTGGTTTTAAGGGGGGCTTTAATGGCTGAAAATGGCACCGATGAATGCACCACTCTGACCCCTGGGTAATTTCAAGGCCCCTTTTGTGTTCACCAAATATAGGTATAAGGTGAAGATCAGTCCTAGCTTCTTATCTTCTGCTCTATTAGGGGCCTATTTCTGCCCAGCGGTATTTATGTAAGAAACCTGATGATTTCTGCTCTTTCAAGGCATTTCTTTAACCCTTAACATCATCTTCACCCCTATCTCTCTATCTGAGCCCCTCTAATTACAAGCTGTGGCTTAAATGAAGGAAAAACGATATGAATTTTAAAATGTAGGACATGTTTGGGTGCAGTTTGCTGACCGAATATGCTATGAAGACCCCCGTTGGTTCACACACCACCATCATTATGGTCCTCATGGTGATGGAAGCTCATAGGTTTCTCAAGGTGACAGCACCAGCTACTTTAAGATGGATTTAGAAATGTATCAAAGGAAAACTTGGTAATATTCTTCTTTCCCCTGCCAGAGATGGCCCAGGCCCAGATCTCTGTTTAAGCGGAAAAGAAACTGATCCTTTAACAGAGGCAAAGGTAAATTCTTGTATGGCCTCTACATTCCTTTCCCCAGCGGGGTGGGGAGGGGGGACAGTTTTTGTGGGCGCATGAGGAGCCTTAACCCAAGAAATAAAGATTGAGGGGGAGGGGTAATTTCTCAGCGGGCATATGCCCATATACACATATATACATAGATTTTCTTGCACGATCATATCCACTGCTAGTATATATAGGAAGGCATTTAACCACACATACAAAACATCTCCTATCTATCTCCGCAGGGAAATAATTTTCTCTTTCCCTCTACTGAACTTACATAATTCCCCCACCCCTTGTTCCAATCTTAGAATGGAGTCCTTTGCGGGCAGCTGCAAAGCATTCTCCCCAGGACAGATGGAACCACCCTTCCTCATCTAGTCTGTGGGTGGGTTTAGTGAGTCAACACAGGCTGAGGGTTGTGCTGGTGGTTTGTGTTTGAGGCTTGCCTGATTATTGTCAATAAAAATTATGGGAATTATAATACCTAATAAAAATGTTTTTTCTTCCAAGTCCCATCTAGAGTTCTTTTATTTGGGTGTTTTTGCCAAGTCTTACTCAATTTGACTTCAGTTTAAAAAACAATAACAGCAACAACAACAAAAACATTTAATACTTAATTGCATCTCCAGTGTAGACATAGGACAAGAAAAAGACTTCAAATGGGATGCATTCCGGTCCACGTGTGCTTGCTCTGGGCCACCGTATGGGGACTGCTGGGGGCCTGGAGAGAGCTGCATCCAATTCAGATGGCCTCGGAAAAAAAAAAAGCAGGTATTATTGAGAGCAAGGAATGTTCCAGGTCAGAAATGAAGTGTCAGCAACTCTCAATAGAGTCACCTTTTCATTTTCTAATCCTTCTTTCTTTTGTCTTAAAATGGAAATGTTACCCGAGAAATGAGGACCTGGGTCATGGTTTGCATACACACACACACACACACACACACACACACACACACCGCAAATAAACCTCCAGGATCACTGGGGACTTTCTCCAAATTAAAGCGGGGAGGGAGGTTTATTTTAAATTAAAAGCCAATCTAATTATTTCTTAAACATACACAAATATAGAGACCTAGGACCTAGGAGGGAGTATTTTCGCTGGAAGTTCCATGTGCTGCTTGGTGCAACGTTCTCAAGGCGGTTCTTCGCAGGGAGCAGCCGGCCAGCGGGTGCTCCCAGGCGGCCGGCTCTGCTGCCAGGGCACCGGGCTAGGCCTCGCCGCCCATCCGGCCCGCGGCCCCGCGCCCCGGGGCTCCCAGTGACCCGCTTTCCAACGCGCACGAGGCTTGCTCTTTTCTCTTTTTCTCCTCATGCGCCCATGACACCTAAATCGAGCAAAGCGAAGACGAACAGGGCTGCTTTCCTTTTGCTTTTCTTTTTTTGCTCCTGTTTTCCCCGCTGTGATTTTTTTTTTTCTCTCTTCTTGCCCGAACCAAGAAACTTGGGGCCCCAAAGACCTAGGTCAACCCTCATTTCCCGAAGCTTCCGACTGATCCAAGGTGCGTGTAGACGCGGAGAGGACAGGGCACCCTCGGCACGGGGCCACCAACGGGAGGGACAGTCCCCAGAGAGGCTACCTTTTCCACGCACCTCCGCTCCCCCAATTTCACAGATGGGCACACGACGGTCCGCAGAGATGATTACGGAGTCCGGGGTAGGAATGGGGCGCGGGTCAGGGCGGGGGTACATATTCAACTTCGAAGAATGGGACGTGGCAAACCGAAGGCCTTGGTAGGTGAAGCATCCTCTCCTCCCAGCTGCCCAGCACTTCGCGGCCTGGCCTTTGCGCCGGGACCGCCAGTTGCCCCCGCCTCGGTCCCTCTCCCCTCATCCTCATCTGGGCCTCCTTCCCGTCCACTCCGGGCCCTGCGGCCCCGACAACCTCATCCCACACTCTGGAAAGCCTCGGACTGAGCCAGAAAGAGCGGCAGACGGGCGCGGCCCGTAAGGTACATGGGAGGAGGGTGGGAGAGGACCCGGCGGGAAAGTCACTTCTTAGCACCCCCTTTACTTCCCACCAGCAGAGCGCAAGGGTGAAAGCCCTTCGCGAGGGTTTTGTTGTTTTGGGTTTTTTTTGAGGGGGGGACATTTTCCACCTCACTGCATCCTCCCTGACTCCCCTTTACTCCTACCACCCTCCTCCATCCTCCACTCATGGCCTGGGCTTCTCCCCCCAGGACCCAGCGATTCACCACCCCCAGCGATGTCCTCGCCCTCCCCAGATACCTTCCTTCCCATCCCCAAACGCCCTCCTTCCCCACTCCCACACACACTCTAAAGAAGCCAAAACAACAGCGGAATCCTCAACCCAGAAGGAAAACGACACATTTCTCCTTCAGACTTAGCGCTGGTTCCAGATCCTACGCCAGAGGGGACCGAGCCGCTGAGAAGCCGGCCTGACTTGCTCTTTCTGGCTCCCTGAACCTCCAAATCCCAGCCCCAACCCCGCCCCCGTCCTAGGCCGAAGGAGATAGGGCCCTTCTGTCCACTGGACCTGGTTTCTGTTTTAAAAAGAACTAAACTCTTCCTATCCCTCGGCTGCTGGGCCCACCAGGGTGCAGAGTTATTGATGCAAGCCTCCCCTGGATTAACAGGCCAGTGCCCTGAAATAACCTTCAGAGCACTGGTCTCAAGGTCACGTGCCCAAGGAAAGGGGCCGGTTAGCCTCCAGAGGCCACACACACAGGTCAGGAGCAGAAGGTGCCTGACAAAGGTCGTGCCTCGGAAAGCTTGTGACACGCGGGAAGGTGCACCTGGACGTCACAGGGGGGCTTCCCTGCAGCCCCTCACACATACCCAGATTGATGTGGCAATATTTATTCCCATTTAATTGAGACACTGGTTTAATTTCTCATGGCTTCGGTTAAGGCTCAAAGGGGTTTTCTACAGCTTTTTTCCCCAGTGCCTCTACAGAAACTAATTGCTGTTAATATCCAATTCTGGCTTTATTATTCGTTAGCCAATTATGTATCCCATAGCCCGGGCCCCTTGCTGCTTACTGTCTCTGCTGGAATCAGCAAACACTAGGCCTGGCTTCTGCTTTTTTTCCTTGCCTCTATTCAAACCCTTCCCCCATCCAAGATGATTTACTGAGCACATCAGTCATTTTGTTTGTTTGTCCCAGCACTTAGCCCAGTTGGGGCCGGGGGAGTGGAGTGGTTACTTTCAGGCTTTTTCTCCCCCCCTTTTGAGGGAGATTTTTTCCTTTTCAGTTGAAGTAAATAATTCCCACTTCTTAAAAAAGAGAATTTAAGTTTTCCCCCCCTCTTCACCACCTCTGGGCTTGCTTTCTCTGGAGCCATTTTTGGAGCGGCACTTTTCAATCAGAAGAAAGCGTGGGGCCTCAGCCTCGAGGCCCCCCCCCCTCCCCTCCCCAGAAGCCCAGCCAGGGCCGATCGGAGAGCTAGCACACATGTGTAACACCGTCGATTCACACGGAGTGCTTGGACCGCGTCATTTCATATTTCAAGGAGGGAAAGTTGAAAAAGCGCTTTGGAAAAGGCACCCTTTTCGGAGATGAAGAGGGAAGCTTTTGTCTCTTCTCCCATGGATGCCCTGGAAGCAGCTTCTGCTTTACTTCCTTAGCATGTGGAGCTGTCGCAAGTGGGGGCAATAGCCTTAGAAAAGAAAAAGAAAGAAAGGAAAAGTGTTCTTTTGCCTCGTTTTATTTGTGTGTTCATTGATATATGGAAGCAAGCACTTCCCATGACGGGTGCTCTGGAAACAGAAAAATAAAAGTAAAAATCATAGCTACAGCAGGGAGATCCTTCTTTGTCTGTTTTCCTTTCTTCCCCCATTTTGAAATAATGCGTTAAGTGCTCTAATGTGCTCTTACTACCTTGAAGAGTTCTATAGCAAACCTGCCTCGTGTCAGCATCAGAACTGAATGGAGAGGAAACAAAATGTCAGAGCAGCTGGCTTTGGCTGAGGCATACCATTGCCCCCCGGAGGCCTGGCCCCTTCTGCTGAGGAGGCCGGAGGCTTTCATTCGGGCCTGGGAATCCTATGGTCAGGTTTTTCTTAGGGAGGATGTAGGGGCAAGTGTTGTGTCAGGCTGGGACATTGTTAAGAAGGTGCCTTACACATAAGGTTCAATAAATACCACCCAGATTGGCTGTAATTAAATTAGCAGCATCTGCCCTTCTGCTTTTGCTGCAAAAAAAAAAAAAGCTACAATTATGCATTAAGGCCTCTTGGACACAGAATAGATAGAGTGGCTCATCGGCAAGGAAGGGGCTTAAAAATGTTTCTGGTTGAAACTAACACACCATTGTAAAGCAATTATACCCCAATAAAGATGTTAAAAAAAAAAAAAGTTTCTGGTTCATCCCTTAGCCCCAGTCTTGCTTAACTCATCCAGGTGTGCAGACTTTGATTTTCAAACAGTTCACGCATGGTAGAGAGATGACATACAAGCCCAGTCCCAGACATAAATTCTAAGAGTAAAAAACTCTCCTTTGAGCCCTTCTATCTTCCCTGTAGAGCACTTGTTTTCCTTTCTAGTAACCCCTACACTCAAATCTTTCCCTTCACCACCCTCAACTCACATCACAGCCAAGGTCTTCCCAACTGGGGTATGCCATAAATAAATATCAATTTCTCTTTCCTTCTACACTCCTCCCCCAGCCCCTTGAAAATGTCTATATTCTCAATGGTCAAGAGGTGTTAGGAGAAAAGCAGTGAGGTTAAGCCATCTCACATAAACATGTGAATTGCTTAGTCTCAACTTTCCCAGAGATATTTACATCTTAGAAGAGGCACTTAGATAACAAGTGGAATCTAAAGGTTGGAGTTTCTCATAAAAGCATCCAAAAGGGGGGAGAATAATGTCAACTTCCCCGTTTTTTGTGTGAGGATAGCATCCTCACTCCTTCCTTCCAGATTTACTGATGCTCTGAACATATCAATATGACCCAGTTAATAAGAAAACACATTTCAAGAACCTCAGGTGAATCCTCTTTGGTTTCCTCTCCCAATTGAAGGCTGGTAGGAGCACCCTGAGCCTTTAACAGAGACACCTGTGATTTTTGCATATTAAATGCTTTCAGTCTAGGTTAAAGCCACCATCTTTAAAGCCAGACCGTTCATGTCACTTTGCATAATTGTGAATTCTGATTTCATTGTTCCATGAAGAATCACACTTAATTATTTGATTAAATACTGGACGATGTGACCCAATGAGCCCAGTTCACTACAGTACCTCAAAGAAGACTCAAAGGCATTCCAGGTGAACCTAGGAATTGAATAATGTACGGTCAGGCCACCCAAGATGGCTATCCTCTTGCTCTCTGTACCTCCCCCTGCTCAACCAGTACCTGCTTAACCTACACCCTAATCACATGACTAACCTTCTTACATGTTTGCCCCGGCGCCAGGTGGTGATTGTTCTAATCTTTAGATCAGAAACATCTTCACCTTGATAGCTCAAGGAGAGGAGGGGCATTTTCCTCTGCTGGTTTCCCTGGTAACGGATGAGCCAACCTGACATCAGTTCCCACTATAACTGGTA